ATGGTGAAGCACAAACGTTTCTGAGGTTCAGTGTTTCTGAGCAGCAGACGTCCAGTTCATCTGAAGGTTTTCTTTAACTCATAGTTCTCATTAACTACCATGTCTTAACCTCCACACAGTTGACGTGTTTATTTTTCCTTCTTCTGCTTGACAAACTACAGAAACTCCCAAAAACAAAACCCACACAGGACATCTTTTAATTAAAAAGAACAAAATGTGCCATTGAGGTGAACTAAATATATGAAAAAGCAGCTTGTTCTAATTCCTGTAAGATGCTGTGAAAGATCTGACTTCACCTCACCAACAGATGGAGCTTCTATCATTATTATTATCATCAGTAACTTAAAGGGACTGAATCAGAAGTGCAGATAATCTGTCAAACCTCCTGCTGAATCTGAATCTTCATCCTTCATGTTTTCACGTCTTTTCATGTCATCAGCCTGAAACCTTCCGTGTGTGTGTTTGCAGGCCTGTGAGCGGCAGGTTTATGGCGACACACCTGCGTCAGGTGTGTGAACGTCTTTAACCTTTTCCTGTTCAAAGCTCAAAGTCCAGCTGACAGACAGAGACGATCCCAGCAAACAACAAGACGAGACAGAGAAGAGTTTCCCTCCAGCTGAAGAAGAAACGGGAATAAAAGGAGGAATCCTGGACTTTATTAAACTTTGAGGGTCTCAAACCTGTGCAGGAACCACACATGGATTGTACCTGAGCAGGTGGGATAAAGTCAGAGAGCGCCGCTGACCCACTGGCTGGCGGCCATCTTGGAGTCGCACTCAGGTGTGTTTGAACAAAAACGTCTGTTTGAGCAGAAAGAGGCTGAAAATAAGAACCTCCGTTAGTTTGTCTCTTTGTTTTATTAAAGACAGACTTCTGCTTTGTTCTCAAAACGTTCTGATTGAAACGTTTTGGTTCTGCAAATTTCCGGTAATGTTTTGAGCGGGACGTTTTTTCTTAGTTGCCCAAATGTTTCTCTTAAATAAATTCTAGAACTGTCTGGAGGCGGCCCTAAAGATCCTTAAACAAACGTTGCATTGAGAACATCCAGCTTTTGTTGTCACGTAACGTTGTGGGAACATTTTGTTATGCGTTCCCTCAAAAACATCCTGCAGGAGGAACGTTCCACTTTTATTAATACATCACATTAAAGGAACATTTTGCAAAAAATTAAAAAATCGGAGCCGCAAAAACATCTTGAAAACATTTTTTTGAACGCAGGTTTGAGAACAGTTTCCCTTTTGTTATTATGTAACTTTGTGGAACGTTGTATGAATGTTTTATAATGTGTTACGTCAAAAACGAACGTTCCACCTTTGTTAATGTATCACATCAGAGGAACGTTTTATTAAAGTGTTCATCTGAGGCGTAAAAAACATCATCTTGAAAGCATTTTGGGAATTTTGGTTTGAGAACGTTCTTTATTTAATATCATGAAACGCTGTGGGAACGTTGTGGAACGTTGTGGGAGTGTTTCATATTCCCAAAAATGTTCAGCTTTTGGTGATACATCACATCACTGGAATGTTTGTTGTTGTTTTTTTGTTTAGTTTTTTTTTTAATCTGAGTCATTGAGAACGTCTTTTAAAAAATGTTTTGATTGGTGGTTTGAGAACCTTTGTAGCGGAACATCATCTAAACGTTTTCTGTTGTTGGCGTTGAAACATTCCGTTTTAAAGGAACATTATTTGAAATGACGAAAACCCTTGAAATTAATCTTGAACATCAGATTAAAACTTGTAAACCACCTTAGAACTTGTGGTTCTAACGTTTAATTTGAATAAACGCAGCGGAACGTTCATGAGCAACAGCACAGCGACCAGGAGGTGGTCGGGGTGGATGGAGGGCGTGTAAAGCTCTCGGCTCTCGTCAGTGTTGAAATCTAGAGCGCAGAACATTTAGATTTACATTTAATTGATTGATGTCGTATTTAATCAGGGAAACGAACAACAAGGTTCCCTGAAAACAACAAAAATGTTAAAACATTCTGTCATCTGAGGCCTGAAGAACGTCTGGAAAACATTTTTTGAATGTAGGATTGTTCTCCTTTTGTTATAGTGGAACACGAAGAACGTTCTATAATGTGTTTTCTTAACAACATCCTCAGAACATTGCGGTACGAATGTTACACCTTTCTGTTAATATTTCACATCATACGAAGAACGTCTGATAGAGAACGTTCTGTCATTTAAGATCTTAATAATATCTTGAAAACGTTTTCCAAATGTTGCATTGAGAACATCCTTCCCGCGTTATCACTGGGGAAATGCTTTATAGAAGAACGTTCTAAAATATGTTTTCTTAACAAAAAGGCAAAATGTTCTGGCTTTAGTAGAACACATCACAGGAACATTAGAAAAACATTCTGTAACATCTGGAAAATGTTGTTTCATTGTGAGAATGTTTTATAGAAGAATAATGTGTTTTTTCAACAGCTTTCCCGGAACATTCTCAGAACATTGCAGGACGAGTACGCTGCCTTTGCTAATACATCAGGATTATAGAACGTAACGAGAACGTCCTTCCTCTGATTTCATTTGGGAAATGTTTTCTAAAAGCGTGTTCTGCAACATGTTCCCTCAACAAAAAATGCAAAATGTTCTTCCTTAAATATATCACATCAGAGGAATTTCTAGAACATTCTGTATGAAGAACGTTTTCTGTTTATTTTTTTAAATGATGTTCCTTTGTTGTCATGGAACAACGTGACAATCTTTTATAGAAGAACATCCTCAAAAACATCCTCTTCCTTAGAACACTGTGGGAACAACGTTCCACCTTATGTGATACGTTACAGGAACGTCTCATAGAAGTGTTCCATCACCTCGATATCCTCTCGAGAACATCCGTCCTCTGATACCATTTGGGAAATATTTCACAGAAGAAGGTTCTAATATGTGTTCCCTCAACAAAAAGGCAAAACGTTCTAGCTTTCATATCTCACATTACGAGAACGTTACAGAACAACACCTGGAAAACATCTTTTGAATGTTGGTTTGAGGTGATCTTCTCTTGTTATCATGGAACATTACAGGAATGTTTTATAGAACGTTTTGTAATGCGTTCCCTTGACAACAGCACTGCAGGAAGAATGTTCCGCCTTTGTTATTGTGTCACATTAAAGGAACGTTTTGTAAAGATAGCCTGAGGACTCGTCACTGCACAGAACAAATTTTTTGGTTATTTTTTGGAACCTTGACCTGAATCCGGTGGAACAAAGTGCTGATTGGTTCTAAAGGGTCGGGGGTCAAACTTTCTTTATAACTCGAGCTCGGAGGCTTTAACCTTGAACTCTGCGTCATCATTTCAGTGCCATAAATCCGTCTGTTCTCACAGATAGAATCGACGAGCAGCCGCAACACACTTGATGTAAAATCCTCACCGTTTGTTCTGAGGATCACGAAGTTTGTGTGATTTCAGTTCTTCTGTTGTTTTGCTGGTTTTGCTTTAATTCTTCCATGTTCAGTGTTTTTAGGTCTGTTTTATAAAGTTCTCTGTAATAACGGATCTTTCTGGTTGTTCTCGGCAGCAGCAGCAGCTCCGGCCGGGGCTCCTCTCGGTTCCTCCCGTCCCCCTGCTGCAGCGCCCCCTGCTGGGCATCATGGAGCCTGGAGGCAGCCGGCAGCATCTCCAGGTTCTGGGAGAGAACGAGGCGCTGCAGCAGTTCTTCAACGGTGAGGCGTCACACGAAGCTTTACTGCAGTTCATCTGCAAATATTACAGGATCTCTGGTAGAACAAGGTTTGGGAGAAGTTCCAGGATCCTTGAAGAAGTTTCAAGCTTTTTGGCGAAGATGAATTGTCACTTAAAATAACTGTTGTTTAGGAGGTTTTACAGATGTTTAAGGTGGTTCTTAAGGTGTTTCAGAATGTTTAGAAGATGTTCTGAAGACCTTGAGGATGTTCGGAAACTAACGTAGATCTCTGGAAGGGACTGATGTGTCCCGCAAAAAGTTTCCAGTGGTGCCTGAAGCGCTTTGGAAAATTCAAAAGAAGCTCCACAGTCTTTTGTGGAGGTTCCAGGTGTTTAAAGGTGGTTCTTAAGGTGTTGCAGAACGTTTAAAAGAGTCTTTGAGGATGTTGGGGATGAACCTGGATATCCTGAAGGGACCAGAGGTGCTTGAGGGGTTTTGGAAGAGGTTCCACAGTCCACTCCGTGGGGTGGTTTAGTGGTCCTTGTGGAGGTTCCTGGGGTACTTAAAAAAGGTTCCAGAGATTCTTAAGATGGTTCTGAATGTTTACAAGATGTTCTAGGGTTCTTGTGGTTGTTTCAGAGTTCTTGAAGTGACTGTTGTTGGACGTTAGAAGGTTTCAGTGGACGATCAAGTTGTCTTCAAGGTGGCTTTAGATGTTCTCAGGGTCCTTCATTTGGTTTTAGTGGTTCTTTTCCATGTGAATGTAACTGGCTTCAAAGTGGTTCTAAAGGAATCTTAAAGATTGCTCTTCATGTCCTTGAGAAGGTTTGGAGGAGGTTCCAGGGTTCCAAAAAAAAAAAAAAAAAAAATTTGTGAATGAGGCAGGATTTAGTTTTTTTTTTGTCGTTCTTTCACATCAGTTTGTTGTTCGTTTGGCTGATTCAGTTTTATGTTGTCAGCTTGATTTTAGTAACTTATTTTATTGTTTTATTAGTTTCCAATAATCTGGTTTCAGTCTGAATCTTAAGGTTAACGGGCCACACAACGTTATCGGTTTCCTTATCGAACTCTGGTGGCAAGATCGACAGTTATTGATTAGTGTGTGTGTGTTGTGTGTATTACCTGCTATGTGAGGACGTGTGTGTTTACAGCAGCTGGTTTTAAACTGGATCCCATTCAGCTCCACATGTAGCTTATATAGAAACGTATTTATGAAGTGAAGAAGACTTTGTGTTGTTGTTTGTCTGCAGGACAGGATGTGAGCGGTGTGCTGGACAACTCGGTCGCCGTGGATACGAGCATCCTGGAGCAATACCTCAGCAACGACGTGGATCCCAGCAGCTTGTAAGATTCACACACGCCGTTAAAAAGGTTCTGTTAAAAAATTAATTTGAAAATATGACAGCAAATGTGACAGAGGGAAAAATAATGATGTTTTCAGCAGATGTAGTTTTACTGTCACACGTTGTAAAAGAACAAAACTGCTCTTTGTAAAAATACAGATGTTTGATGTGGATTTTACGGACAGTTGGTCTGTTTTTATTATTATTATTATTATTATTATTATTATTACTCTTATTATTGTTTGCTTTTAGTTAACATGTAAATTAATTCTTTTTTTCTATGATTTTTTTTATCTGCAATTTCACAAAACAGAACAAATCTGTAAAATAAAAGTAATATTATTATTATTATTATTATTAATAATAATAATAATAATAATAATAATAATAATAATAAAAATAATGGTCAGTATCTGTAAAATGCTATTTTTGGTAAATACAGTAAAAATACATAAAATAAAATTAAAACTGTAAAAGAATAAGTTAACAATTCTAAAAACACAGATTGTTGATGTGGATGTTATTTACGGTTTTTGTTGTAAATCTCAAAGACGTATTTGTGTAAACGGACTTCCACGTATTTCAACCGCTGCTCATGTAAACACGATAACGCCGTAACTAAAGTGTTGAACTGGAGATGAAACCAGGTCTATTAATGTCAGTTACATAATTCAGGAGCTTCCTGGTTTGGAGACAAACAGCAGTGACCTCGTTGGTTATCAGATATTAGAGGCTGTAAACACAGAAAGAACCAACAGGATTAAAATCGCTAACGTCAGGTCGTTGTTCGTTTTTTATTTCCCAGCATGCTCCCTGAGTCTCCTCCTGATTCCAGCTCAGAGGCCTGTTCACCTGCACAGATCCCAGGTACCATCATCATCATCATCATCATCATCATCATCATCCTCATCCTCACCTGAGCTGCCTTCACAGTTGAAGTCTGAACCAGTGTTTTATGTCTGCTGTTTAGGACCTTGTCTTTAATGATAACCCGACCGCTGACGTGGATAAAAGCTGAAGTGCACCGGCATTTCAGCCAGATACTACTTCCTGTCCAAGTGCTTATAGTTTTAAAGGTTTATTTCACCAAAATAAAACTTTCTGCCAGACCAGTGAAGGTTTTTCTGCCCCAAAATACAACTGTTTGTCCAAGTACTTGAAGTTGTAAATTGTCTTCCACCAAAATACTACTTTCTGTCAAGGTACCCATAGTTTCACAGATTAGTTCCACCAAAAAGGCCTTTATCTGTCCAGGTGTTTACAGTTTTAAAGGTTCATTCCACCAATCTATCCACCATTCCAACTAACAAGTTATGATTTTAAAGGTTTGTCACCCAAGTCGTGCTTTCTGTCCAAGTCCCTTATAGTTTCAAAGGTTTATTCCAACTGAAATACTGTGTTCTGTCCAAGTACTTCTAGTTTCAAAGATTTATTCCACTCTAGGCACTACTCTCTGTGTAACTACTTATAGTTTTAAGGTTTAATTCTTCCCAGATAACACCAGCTATGGTTTAAAAGGTGTATTACGCTATGTGCTGTAATTTAAATTTGTTGCTGAGACTTGCATTGTGCAGTGAGCATAACTCGGACGCTGTTAGGTCAAATCAAATAATCTGCTTTGGCCTTTTCCAGTCACAAGATCTCAAAACAGATATTTGAAATGTTGCAGAGACACAACAACACAAGTTCTTTTCTAATTGGCAGATTTCCACTACAAGCCGTCCTATTGGTCCAACCAGCAGACCACCCAGGAAGTGTTTGAACCCACGAGCCAATCCGGTGCCTACTGTCGCTTTAAGGATCGAGGCTCCGCCCCCACCCACCCCGAGCTGCTGACCCACCACCAGCTCCACACTTTGGGCCTCACGAATACGTATGTGAAGTCCGGGACTCCACCTGCTCCTCCACACCTTCATGCTCACCACTCACCTGAGCACTACCTGAGTCCAGAGAGCTGTTCGCAGGTTTACACTCCACCCACGCCTCCGTCTCCGCCCTCCAATGGCTACGTCACTGGTCCAGCTGTAGCCACGCCCCCTTCTGTCGGTTTTCCAGGCTCCGCCTCCACACTACGTACCTGGTAAGAAGACAAGAGAAGCTTCTAACACTTCGAACAACATTTCATTGTTGTTGTCTTTAAAGATTTATGTAAATGCCTGAAGAGACACCTGTACGAAAGGTACCGAAAACCTGAAGATCCAGATCATCAAGATCATGTGTTTTGGACCCTTTAAATTTTATAAGTATCACTTTTACATCTGAATGTCTGCTCCCAAGAACGAATAAGCAGAAATTAAGTCAACTATTCAGACTTTAAGTTAATCTTCAAAGTATTGGACTTGTTTTTGGTTCTTGAAGATGTTCCACCGTCATCCAAGAGGCTTCCTCAGTTCTAACTGATGGGTGGGGCGTCCCAGGTCTTTATTCTCTCCACAACTTACATGACTCAAGACTTAAGGTTCAATAAGACGTGGTGAAAACCGCCTGGTGAGGAATGTATGGACTTAGATATAAGTGGTTGTTAACAAGTTCTGGTCAATGTGAGTTGGATGTGAAACTGTCTGGTGAGGGATATCAGGAGTCTTTTATAAGAAGTCGGAAGGAAGTTTTGAGTCATGTCAGTTAGGGTTAGAATCAGGGTTTGAAGGGTGGTGAAACTGCCCAGTGAGGGATGTTAGGGCTGTATCATAGGTGGTCAATAACTAGCCTTGAGTTATGTGAGTTGTTGTTGTTGAGAATCAAAGTTTGACGGGTGGCGAAACTGCCTGGTGATGGACATGACAAGTAAACAGCAACAAACGCCAAGTTGGGGAGATTGAGAATAAAGATCTGGACTCTTCACCAGGCAGCTAGAACCGAGGAAGAGTCCTAACCCAAGAACGTAGCATCACCTACCTTTAGCTGTTTGACTTGAGTTCTAAACGTCTCGTCCTGCTTCAGCTCCCCGGACACTAAAAAGAGGCGGAGATCTGAGTCTGAGGAAGCCTCGATGTCCTGCGGTGAAGGTGACGGGCCTCACGGTGGCGCTGTAGGGAACAGTGTCGGTGGACTGACGCTGGGATCCCACCAGCTGCTGACGTGGGAACAGTACCAGCTGGAACACTGGGGCACTTTTTACGACAGCAGCTACCAGATTCTGTAAGTAAAGCAGCAGATTTTTAAATGTTTGTAAAAGATAACGCCGTCAGTCCGCTTCAGTTTCATCATTTACGTTGTTTCGTTTGTGTTTCAGATCTCCTCCTGCCTACCACGTCGATACAGATAAAGGCTTCAACTACTCTGCCATCGACGAAGCCTTTGTCTGCCAGAAGAAGAACCACTTTCAGGTCACCGTCCACATCGGCGTGGCTGCAGAACCACAATACGTCAGAACGCCCAGCGGACCCCGACAGGTCGACCACTTCCAGATGAAAGTGTTCGGGGTTAAGGTGCGTACAGAAACTCATTACGCTAAAATATCTGCCCACATGGAAATTGCAATTCTTCATTTCAGTATTTAAACGTGTGAAATCTGTGTCTCCTCTTCAAAGCTGGAAACTCCGAGCCACCAAGTGACCATCGAACAGTCCCAACCGGACCGAACCAAGAAACCTTTCCACCCGGTCAGGTAGGTAGCTGCATTATTGCAAGATAAAACATGGAGTTTACCGATTCTGATGAAACTTTTTGAAGTTGCAAAGATTAGTTCCAGGTTTTGGTTGACAAAATGACGTTGCATCAACTTCATATTGTGTATAATTTAAACTTAAATTTCTGCTTTAGTTGATTTAAGCCAAATTCAAGTTGAGGCAACTCAGTGGAATTAGCTCAATAACTGAATTTTTTCTTCATGCAAGGTTCAAGATTTTAGGTTACGTCCTCTATACTAAAATGCCTGGACAATTTCAGACAGTTAGGACTGGTAAAAACACCTTCGATTGTAGAGGAAAGACTCAGTGTAGTCTGTTGACTGAACACAATCCACCAGAAGTTGTTGTACCTTAAAAAGATGATGCATTATTTTTCATGTTGAGCCCAAATATGAGTGTTTAAAGTGTAATCGGTGGTGTTTTTATGCCATTGTGTTCAGGTTCTGATGTGTAATTCAAACAAAAGTAGGTAAAATGGATCACGTTGGAGTCGGGGCAACAGCAGCTACTTTTAGTGAAATTAGTCCAACACAGAAAAGAGAAAATAACCAACTAAGTCTACACAAAAACTGGTGAAGCAGCTTCCTATTTCTAGGCTGCAACCTTCCGTTTTGTGTTCTAAAAACCTGGTCTCTTGCAGGATCAGTCTGCCCGGTGGTAAAATAACCAAAGTGACGCTCGGCAGGCTGCACTTCAGCGAGACGACGGCCAACAACATGAGGAAGAAAGGAAAGCCCAACCCCGACCAGAGGTGTGTGAGTCGGTGATTACTCAAAGGGAAGCCATGACCGCAAAATACAGCTGATGTTCCACAGCGTCGAATGCTACGCTAACACCTAAACACACCACGATTGTTCCTGCAAATGTCATTTAAACTGTTTGTCAGAGCAGTTTCAGTGCTTTGACGTGCAGGAACCTGAATCCTTGTTGGGTTAAAACTACTTTTTTTATAATCCTACTTATTAAGTAAAGATTTGAAAGTTAGTTGCCTTGTTCTGAAGCATCCAGGTTTCTTTTAACTCACACTCACCTGTAAAATGAACTTCAGTGATGGGCCTCCACCATTTCTGAAAGCATCAACACTTTGCAACGATAGAGTTAGAGACTTAGAGTGTTTCCGAAAATTCCCCCTTATGGGATTGTGAACATCTTGAGAAGGTGGTGATTAAATGGACTCTGACTCTGAATGAGCAGCAGTCAGAGCTACATGCTAACTGTTTGTGTTCGTGCAGGTATTTTCAGATGGTGGTCGGTTTGTACGCTGCAGTCGGAGAGGAAACTTTCCTCCTGACAGCTCTGGTGTCAGAGAGGATCATCGTCAGGGTAAGAACTCTGAACCAATAGTCGATGAATTAGTTAGCGATGTGTCAAACGTTTTTTGACAGAAAAGTAGATTAAAGCGGCGTCTTGGTCCTGCAGGCGTCCAACCCAGGTCAGTTCGAGACAGACGGCGACGCCTTGTGGCAGCGGGGGACGCAGCAGGAAGCCGTGTTCTGTCAGGGTCGCGTCGGCATCAACACCGACTCCCCCGACGAGGCGCTGGTTGTTTGCGGTAACGCCAAGGTGATGGGCGCCGTCATGCAGCCATCCGACCGACGCGCCAAACACAACATCCAGGAGGTGAGACGATGACATTACTTTATTGTTTGAACTCTTCTGAAGCAGCTGGATCCAAAGGCAGATGTTTCAGCACCATTTTAAAAGCTCCACATCTGGCATCTAGTCCTGCTGTTGTCTGGTGTCCTGAGCTGGCAGTACAACATCCGGACAGCTGATAGCCACAATATAATCAAATAAGAAGGACAGAAAAGGTGTCAAGTTCTTGCTGCAACAGAATCAGATATGAATCCATCCCACAACTATGGATGCAGAACTTAATGCTGCAAATCTCAACCTTATGTTTACTATCAGGCAAACCTAGTGGGGTTTGGTCCTAACTTCTCCTGATTCTACATACTTTTATTTTTAGGGCATTTAACTTCTAATGTAAACAGAATCATAGTTATTAGTCTAGTTTAATTATTAGTAACTCAAATGGAAAGACAAAGTGAGTTCATACGACCACAGTCTTTTAGTGAGAGTCATAGATAGAATTGGGTGTCATCTGCATACGATGATAGGGAACCGTAAAGTTTTGGGAAATGGAAGAAGACCAGTAAACATTTGAGTGTTAATTATTGAATTTATTAGTTTCCAACAATAAATTCATAAAATTCCCAAAATGTTACATAGTCTGGTTCCCACTCTTTCTGTCTGCAGGTTTACCAAATTGCAAAAGTAAGTTTTTACAAGCCATTGACTAACTAGTGAGCCAAACCTTTCAAAAATGGCTAAAATGGGCCTCACAATAGATCAAAAATATTATTTATTTAACAAAAAATCTCTTGGTGCTGGTGACAAACATTCAGAACCATAAAATTTGGGAGTTTTAATGAGAAATTGAAGAAATAGTGGCCCTCTCCGAATGGAAACATGAGGTCATTTGTAGCAGATAACTTTGTTTGTTCTCCGGTTATCTGGAGTCGAACCTCTTCTCTAAAAATGTTATATATTTCCATTGCTGTTATACGTTTTATAGTTTTAGTTAATGTTCAACTTTCACATGCAAACTAACTGTAGACGCCGGCGTCCACACAACCACAGAAAACGGTTTGAACCGTTACCTCTTCTACCATCTCAGCTTATTAACATCATGAGTCTCTGCTGTTGTTGACAAACATCGAACCCTGTTCATATCTTACACTGACCACAGCGCCCCCTCCTGGCATCACTGATCTATTTCCCTTTCTGTTTGTTCGTCAGGTCGACTCCGAGCAGCAGCTAAAGAGAATCACTCAGATGAGGATAGTCGAGTTTGATTACAAACCCGAGTTTGCCTCCAGTATGGGAATCGACCACACCCACCAGACAGGTGCTGCACTTCATCAGCCAGGCAGCTGTTGTCGGTCTGACTGTTGAATTGTTGTGTTTCTATTCACTTGTTGTGTGACTTTTCAGGTATTATCGCTCAGGAGGTGAAGGAACTGCTGCCGTCTGCAGTGAAGGAAGTCGGAGACGTCAGTTGTAGTGACGGAGAGACGATAGAGAACTTCCTCATGGTGGACAAGGTAGACGCTCCATCCTCCTGCTTGAACAATCAGTGTTTATTGATTAATGGTGATCAGATTTGTGCAACTACTCGGTCACATTCAAGCAACTTCTTTTGTAATCTGATTGCACAGTCCTGATTGCAAATACTGTGCACAGTCAGAAGCAAACGTCCACCTATATGTTCAGTGTGTATCATGTCAGTCTTGAGCATCCAATGACAACACAGGAATCTCTGTCACAACAAAACAATCCTGCACTTTGGTTCTTTCATAAATTCATTATCAGTCTTCTGGAAGTGTGACAAAATCTGATGGGTCAAAAATATGCATGCAGCAACTTCGTTGATGGTTTTTGTTGATGTAGAAAGTTGTTTTAATCAAATGTTTTTGGTTTCATGGCCTCTTATCTTCTCCTGAGTGGTTCTGATCGACTCTAGCTGCTGACTCCTCTGATCCAGTTTAAACAGAACCATCTGATCCACTCATTAGACTCAGACACTACAGTGGGAAAGTCTGAGGAGCTCAGCAAAGATCTGGACAAGAACATCATCAGAAAGCCACCTGGAGCCATTTCAGAGCAGCTTCAGATCCAGAACCATCAGTGTGTCAGCATGAAGTTCATGGTCCAGGTGTGTTCCTGCCACCATCAGGAGAATGAGCAGGAACATGTCTGGAGGAGAGAAGGTGAGGCCTTTGACCTCAAGAACACCAGACCTACCATCAAGCATGGAGGTGGCAGCATCATGCTCTGGGTTCGTTAATGAAGGAGGAGGATCACCTCCACGTTGTTCATGAAAACCTGAAACCATCAGTAGAAGGTTGATCTTGGACACAGTTGGATGTTCCAACCAGACAATGAGCCCAAACACACATCAAAGTGGTGAAGAAATGGTTCCATCAGGCTGGAATGAAGGTTCTAGACTGGTCTCCCCAAAGTCCTGACTGGAACCATCCAGAACCTGTGGACTGATGAAGGAACAAGTCTGAGTCAGAAAGACGACAAGTTTAGTTGAACTGCAGCGATTCTGTCCAGAGGAGTCAGAGATGGACCAGAAGCTGGTGGACGGAACCAGAAGTAGCTCGTATAGTAGCATTTCTGTATTTATACTTTTGACTCAGCAGATTTCGTCGTATTTTCAAAAGATCGGTAAAAAATCTACAAAAGGACCAAAATGTTTGTTTGTTTTGTGACAAAGACGTTCAATGATTCCAGGTGTCACTGGAAACTAAAGTATACGTGGTCTGTACAGGTGTACGTAGACTCTGCTAACAGCTAACTGGTACCACTGTGTAAATAACGAGCACTAAAACCCTCCACTGGTTCCTCCAGGAGCAGATCTTCATGGAGAACGTCGGCGCCGTGCAGCAGCTGTCGAAACTCACCGACAACCTGGAGACTCGAATCAACGAGCTGGAAGTCTGGAACCGTCGACTGGCCAAACTGAAGAGTCTGACGGGCAGCCTGCGCTCCACCGGGTAACGTTACCTCCACCAGTCTGTCAACAGTTCATCCGTTACTATGGTAACGGCGTTATGTTTAAGGGTTTTGTCGTTTTATTTGTTGGTTAACTCTGAGAGTTTAAATATTTTTCAAAAGTGTACCTAAAGAAGTCAAAATCAATCAGTTCAGATGCTGAATAGTTTCCTTTTTGATATTCCAGCTCCTCTTATTTCTTCACTCTTTATGATTGTTTACACGCTTATTCTGCCCCCTGGAGGCCGGGAGGTCAAAGTGGCATTTCTGCTTTAAAGCAGATGCAATTTTTTTTAAAATAATATTTTATTTGTAGGTTTTTTCTTTGGTTTTATTACATTATTTTTACATTCATTGTATTATCTTTTTTTTAATCTAGTTTTTCCTCATTTCTTTTTTATTTTTACATACTTTGTCTTTATAATATTTTTTTGCTTCTTTAATTTTTTATTATGTAAATTTCCTAATTTGTTGACTTTTAATATATTTTTTCTTTTTTTGATTTTTTTATTATATAATTTTAAATAGCATTTTAAAGCATTTTTTAAATCATTTTACTATATTCTTAAATATATTTTTTTATTCTAATTCTTTTTCATTTTTTGTTATGTTTTGTCTTTTTAAATAATTTTGCCCCTTTTTTAAAACCTTTTCAGCGCTGAATCTTTTCAAATTTAGTTTATTTTTTTCAATTAATTTTCTTGCTTTTTAATATTGCTTTGTTGTGTCTTCATTATCGGTTTTATATTATTTTTAATTTCACTCCGTTCTGGTCTAAACTCGTTCTGTGTTTTTATCGGCTGCTCAACCGTCTATGAAGCACTTTGACCTGCTGGAAGCCTTATGAAAGCAGCTGTATACGGTGAATAAAGTTTGATCCATCGGTTGAATAAAAGTATACGATGATATAACCATTAACGAGACGTAGCAGCACATTCACTGTAACGGCGGCTGAGCTGCAGCGTTACGTCTGTCAAAGAAAAAACACGGAAAAATGTAAATATAAGACAAGACAACAAACGTAAATAATATATATATGTTGTTTTTTACAAATATTTCATTTTTTCATTTAACGTGAAAAAGCAAGAAGTGGGTCGAAATAATGAAGCAGCTGAACAGCATGTGAGCTTTTCCCTACATTCAGCTCTTTATTTTTATTAGGTGTAAGTTATAAATATCTTCTTGTGATAATGAAAGTACAGTAATCAGCTCAATGAGTTGCTGAAAGATGAAATTAATCGTTTTTCTCACATGAAGTCACATCGAGCAGCTCTGCAGACTTGGTGCAAGAACTCAAGAGCAGTTTGAATATTTCTCATAAAAAGTGAAAAAGCTCCTTTATCTCTGCAGCCGTGGAGGTTATTCTGTAAAATATACGGCATCCTGGAAAACTTGTGATGTAATTTGAGTTGCGTAACGGCGACAGCAAAGTGTGTTATCAGTGCGTCGCTACAAGTCACAGTTCAAGGACGGCCGGCTTTCTGAAGGCTACTGTGGACGCGAATGACGAGATTTCAGTCGACAAAACTTCACTGCAGACCAAAGAAACTGAACTTATAGAGAATCTAAAGCGTCACTTCCTGTGGTTTGATGTGTTGCTGTGAAATTAGACGAAGCAGATTTCTATAACGAAGGTTCATTTTATTACAAAATAAAGTCTGAACTGTGCTGAAGGTCAAAAACTAAAAACATGGAGGTTTCATAATTTACTGCTATTTTGCTTCTTTATGAAATATTCAATTCAAATTAAACAGTGATTCTATTTTATTTTTATAATCTCAATCTGAGTTGCAGTTCAGCTAATGAGTAACGTCATATTGGGAAAAACATCAAAGAATGCTGTGATTTGGTAAATAAGTGATTTTCAGAATTAAAGCTTTGCATAGAAATGTAGTCGGAGAGCAACTGGCAAATTTTTTAAGTCTCGATTAAACTGTTGGTCATTTTTTAAGATTAATCAATTAGTTGGTTGAACTTTAAAATGTCAGAAAATGGTTTAAAAGAAAAAAACAAACATCAAGAGGTGTTTCCCAAAATCCAAGATTATGAATGTGTTTTTTTTTGTATATCTGGTTTACTGTCATCGACAAAAGAAACCAGAAAATATTTACATTTAAGAAGCTGAAATCACGGATATTTTTTTTCAATTATTATTTTTAAAAATAAATCAATAATTAAAACAGTGTGCCAGTAATATAATAGTCGACAACTCCAGCTCTAGATAACGTGATGTAAAAATGAGAAATGAAAAAGCAGTGGGCCCAGACTTGAACCTTGTGGTACTCCGTATGTGGACAGGTTGTAAAATCGTAGTGGATCCATGGTGGTGCCTTGTGGAACTCCTGAGACTCTTTTCCAGACCCACTGTCTAACTGAGCATAATGTTACGGCTCTGATTTAACATGAAACTATTCTACTGACAGTTGTTTGGTCTCTAAAATGCTGAAAAATGTTAATATTTTCTAATATCCAAGATGTCAAATGTTTTGTCCATAATACAAAGATCTTCAGTTTAGTGTCACAGAAGAGAAAAGAAACCAAAAAATATTCACATTAGGAAGCTGCAAATACAGAATTTAGACTTCCTGTTTTGTCCACCAGGAGGCCTCAGAAACACAGCGTCGTGTCGATCACGCCCAGCATCGACCCCTGTAAGTCGGAGAAGATCGAGAAGGAGGTTGAGAGTCAGAAGTCCAGCCACTGCCTGCAGCAGAAGGTGTTCCAGGCCAGCGTCTTCGCCCTGCTGGCCACCATGGCCTTCTGGTGAGGCGTCGTCCTACCAAGAATCGTGTTCAGTTAACTCACAGAAATCCTCTAACTCATCACGTTGTGTTTGTGCAGCGTCATCTCCATCACCGCTCTGTACCTGGTCAACCTGAAGGAGGACGACTTCGACCTGATTCCCGACCTCAAGTAAACAACTTTTATTGTGAAATCAGAAAACACCGACGTCCACCAAAACAGCCGCTGACAGACCAGAATCAGACAGTAGCAACCGTTAGCGGCGCTGTAGACATCCCAGAATAACACCTTAGCAACCATCAACTCTTCTATTATTATTACCTTTATAACCTCATTTCAACTCCAGTAAACTCACAGAAACACGTTTAACACTCGTCATCTGTCCTCCAATACCGACCATCAGAGTCTGTTTAACACCAACAACAACAAACTTTATTCATCTCCCAACATCTTCTACGTTCTTTAGAAGCCACGTATTTGCTGCTTGAAGGTTTGACAGGATTGTAACTTGACCTCTGTGTTTGTGTCTGTTAGTAACGGCAGCGTAGTTCCTCCACAGACCACCTGGACGAGCACAGGTAATGGATCAGCTGTTCATTCTCTACAAACATGCTGATTGCTGCTGATTTCACACAAAATACTGCTAATTACAACTAATAACAGATTTTAATGAGTTTCTCTACTTGTGTCCTCTAAGGAGCACAGAATTTGAGTTATGTTTTGACAGAATCTGGTGCAGACGCTTTAATTTTATACAAATAAATCAACTTTGATTAAACATCCTAATTTTAAGGTCAGATTCGGTTATTTTTGCTTCATTTTTAACGAGTTACACACGAGAAATTCAAAGATTTAAGGCTTCTGCTTTATAATTGGTTAATTTTTGGAGATTAGATAAATAATAAAATGCCTTTCATGTCCCTCAGAGGGATAAAAGTGGAGATCGATGCCACACATTTGAGAAAATTCCAACTATTTTTGCTGAAATTAAAGAACTTCAGGCCTTCTTCCAGCTGATTCAAACCTTCCCGTACATTAGCAGCGATGCTAACAGTTTGTTGGTTGACCCCTCTGCTCCAGTCCCGCCCACCCGTCCTCCGGGTCCGTGGCCTCCAGACGTGGACTTCTGCGACCTGCTGTTCTGTGACCAGGTGCACTGCTGCCCGGCGCCTGCAGGGGGCGGCAACGGCTCCTCAGCCGATCCCAGCAAGTGGGAAGATCAGAAGGATTTACCAGGTAAGTTCAGAGGAACCAGTCCTGCAGCTTCATTACTGTTAAAGCAACGTCCGGTTTAACGTTCAGTGTTTTTGTTTTGCAGAAATAAGACAAGAAAAA